GTACACATGCTCTTCATTCATTTTCTGTCAATATGACACAAAAGGAAACGGCCAATGTCTTTTCTTATTCAAGGGAGATCAATTTATTTATACTGACCCTTACAAAATCCAAATCAAAGTTTGCCTAGTATTACCGGTGGCCTCTTCCAGCTTTATTTAATGAAATAATGCTACAAAACGTCTGTTCATTAGCTGAATAGTCTCAACGCTTGTCTGAGGATTCCGTCGTAATTTCTTTTGAAGTGCAGCCTCCAGTTTGTGACGAGTTTGTACACGGTGCGGCCTGTTCTTAATCCTCCAATCAAGGTCATCTTACAAGATGTTCTGTCGAGTTAAGGTTTGTTGATCTTGCAGGCTAGTCCAGAACATTAATTTGATAAGTTTGGAAGGAGCTTTGACTGATCATGGCTGCAAGGGGATGGGTGTTGTCTTGTTTGCACATTGTATCATCCGTGCCATTTAGGGCAGGACACGAGGACGAAGAATTTTGTCACAATACCGTCGTCCTTTGAGGTTGCTTTGAATTGCGACCAAACGTGTTCGATGAAGAGTAGGGATTTCGCCAAACTCCATCACACTTTCAGCCACAGAATCGGTCCACTTGGCCAACATTGGCTTTATGAAATCTCCATCCTCTTCAGTCTTTTTTTAAACACTTTTTCTCTCCCATCAATGCGAAGAGTTAAAAACCTGGACCATTATTGCTGAATAATGCACGGTACCAACGTCTTTGGTTCCATCACCATTGTCGTTGAGCCAAAATCTGGAGATTTCTTCGATAAAACAGGGATAGAATGGCTCCACACAAAGGGCGATAATCACGTTATCTATGATCACGTAAATGTCTAACAGAGGAGTTTTAAGACAGCCCAAAGTACCCGGCGGTTTCTACACTTGGAACGGGTTTCGAACATGGGTGTTGACAATTATAAAATTTAGATGCTGAGTTGTCGCCCTCAGCAGGCTACTTCTAGGCCTGTCTTAAACAGTTCTAGCAGTGCTAAAATACTTGTTCAAGCATCAGATGGTTCTTCTGCATACATTACGTGTCTTGTGACTACAGAAAGCACATTTCAAGAAATTAGCGCGTTCAAGTTCTGCATTTGTCAGTTCTTTTATTCTGAAAGCAGGTAAACAAATGGCCCATATGTTAAAAAGCACCAATGTAAGCTGTTTTTACACATTGTCTGTGGGATTCAAAGCAGATTTTGTGGGCAGGAAGTGTCGATTCCAAAGTACATCGTGAGAAAACAATACCAACACTTTGCCCACGAACAACTTCCAGTTTACGAATTCTTTCATTTGCACATGCATGAGGTGTCTCAATAGTCATAAAAGTTGCACTGTTCATTCTTGCTACAATTTTTACGCTTTAGTGAAAATTACCGTAGTATAATGGGTGTGACAGAAATTTTGCAACTCAGTACCCTTGCAGAACTAGAACACTCAGAAACATTGTCGGCTTTCCAGAATGCACAGAGTGCAAGCAGCAAATTAAGTGTTGTTAAAACATTAACAAACTGACAAGATCTTTCCCCGCCCATCTACTTACATCCGCTCGTATATGTTTGGCTCTGTCTGCGTATCTCAAAGTGTTGTACGTGTCCTCAAATGATCGACTAGAAGGGCTGGAAAAAAAAAAAAGAAAAAGCAGCTTGTCAGTACAGGCTGAATGCACATATATACATTAGGCTAAGGACTAGCCAGTTCAAGATACAGTAGAACATGACTCTAGCGGCACCCGCTGCAGTGGGACCATCCCTACAGCGGAACCTTACCGGAATCCCTTTTTTTGGTCTATGTAAAGTCAACCGTGCTCGGGTTTAACGGGGCAAGGAAAGGACAGAACTCGGATACAGCGGGAGAGATCGAGCGAGCTCTGGCTGGGGGGAAGGGGGTTGGGGGGTTGTAGGTGGGCTCCAAACAGGCAGTCAGCTGTGTGGCTTTGTGACTGGCTAGTGCAGTGATGAGTGAAGTGGGGAAGGCGTTAGAGAGAGATAGTGCGGAGAGACACGTTACGTGAATGACTCCAGAAGTGATATGACATAGCCTTAGGCTAAGGCTAGGCCAAAAAGACAGTAAAAGAAGAGGAGAGCGTGCAGTGTGTGATTTTTTGGTAATTCCCCTTTGCATTCCAATAGCGGGAACTTGCCTACAGGGGAATTTTGAATTTTTTTTCTGGAACGAAAGGTCCCGGTATAGCCATGTTTTACTGTACGTGAGTATCTATGACCAGAGAACATCTGTTTGAAAAATGCCCAATACAACAAAATATGATAACGCTGACAGGAAAGGTCAGAAGCCCGCTTCCTAAATGGCCACACGGCCAGCGCCAGTGTCACCCACAGAGCAACTCGGAGGTCCTTATTTTATTTTAATGAACTTAAATGCAGGCGTTATACGCCCCTATCAACACAGTTTAGATCACTTAGGAGGCGGGCTTCAATTCTGCCCGTCAGGGCCAACCTGGACGAAGAGGAATACAAAGTCCCTGCAGAAAGACTGAGATACTTGATAAAAAATTCTCCCCCCTCAACAGAAACAAAACTAAGGTCTTCGGAAAAAAAAATAATTCTAGCATTTTGTAAATTTCCACGGAAACATCAGTAACCACAAACAAGTGACCATAGGAATATTCATGAGAATGCCATCGTAAACTTTTTCTTTTCTTAATTTTCGTACTGATCTTTATCTTATTCTCATGGTACTTGGTAACTGTATAGATTTTAAAAGTTTATGCCCCTCTCCCCACAGACAGGTGTTATTCAGGAGTTGTGTGTCCTCCGATTACCACTCATCTCTTATTTTTAGTAGAGGTTTTATGGCGCTCGCAACTGCATAAGGCCATATGAGCGCCAAGGGGTGGAAGTCAACAGAGAAGTCCTTACAGGGAATCAGACTTACTCTGCTCACCTCTCTAGCTTCAACAGCACAAAGTCTGCTTTGACTATCAAGGCACCCCAGAAACAGCGGGTCACAAGAGTGTGACAAACATATAAATGAAGTAGAGGAAAAATGACTATAGTAAGGATTGGGAAAGAAAAGGCAGCAGTTCCCTGTTTTGCAGTTCAGGCAGTTATGAGAATGACATCGAAGAATCAGTCAATTTACAATTCTACTGTGCATAAGAGCAGGTTGATGTCCCCCTTTGGGAATGGCCTAAAGAAACTTCAGTCAGTAGCACTGCCCTGGAGGGTATACACTCGTCTCTGAGAGATAGGAATGTTATGAGCCATTTAAACCCTGACAGTTTCACAGACAAGCCAAATTCAAGATTGACCCATAGGGGATTCAAACCAGCTCTGGGGGGCTCTTGTGGCCTAGAGGTTAAGATGTTCTTCTCTCATTCAAAGGACCCGGGTTCCAATCCGGGTTGCGACGTAAACTTCTCTAAAATTGTCTCCTTTCACCTTCTATCCTGCTCTCCAACAATGTTCTGTCCTCTGCTTTCGTCTCCAATCTCTGCCCCCAACCCCTCACCTCCTCTGCTCCAACCCCCTCATCTCCTCTGGGCTCCTGACTCTTTCTGCACCCTTTCTACTGCTACTCCTTGGCTCCTTCTTATTGCTGTCTTTCAGCCACATCCCTGATCTTCTGGTAGGAAAGATCTACGCCTAGCCTTCTCGGTCAAGAGCGAAAAATCTCGGGGGGCCCGCGTGCAAGTTGTGAACGTTAAAGATTCCTAGGTGATCTGAAATCGATAAGAGTAGGCTTCAGCCGCCACCAGGGCAAAAATCAAAATTTCCTACCAACTGAAAACGTTTAATGTGTCCTGCGCGCTCATACGACCTTATGCAGTTGTGAGCGCAGTAAAACACTTATTAACAAAAAGAAAGAAAAAAAAGAAAAAAGAAAAAAAAAAAGAAGACCGCAGATGTGAGTACGCGGTCAAGTAAGTCCCGATTGGAGGGCTAAATTTTACTTTCACCCATCACCATAGTGCCGCCATGTATGTCGTACCTGACCGCTGCTATCATCACAGTGTGGCAGTTACCCCCGAGGGAATCTTTCAGCAGTCTCGTTAGCTTGCTGTCTCGGTACGGAATGTGACCTTTGAACTGCAGAAAACAGAAATGGGCAGTGATTAAAGAAAAGCATGCTGTGCTTACTTAATATGACCATTGGTACAATTTGTAAAAGTCTTTGTATACAATTCAGTACAGTATTCCAGAGTCCTGTACTGATCTTTACACAAGTCAGTATTTCAATCTCCTGTAATTATTTTCATTAAAAAATCAGAATTTCAGAGTTTTGTAATGATCTTAATACAAGTCAGTAGCCTATTTCAATGTCTTTTTCTGGTAATAGTTTTACGGCACTTGCAACACAATAAGGTCATATAAGTGCCAATTAAAGTGCTAATTAAGTCTGACTAAACCAGATTTTCCTTCATAGGTGGAACAAAAGCTACCATTTTGGTACAATACAACTGATTCGACCTACCACCATGAAAAACAAACGTGTTTGATTTTTTTGGGTTACGATTGAATTTGGCTGGATTCGATCATAAATATTGTGCCAAAATGGTAACTTTTGCCCCTTCAATGAAGGAACATTCGGCTGGCCCCGATTAACTCTGATGTATCTGACTGGCGGTGAGCACTTCAGAACAAATGTATCAGGGCTCCCATGGGTCAGCTACTGGATCTTAACCACATGCTTTTCTGTTTAGTTTTAGTAAGTTATTTATTATTTAGTCAGGGTGTCCAGCAATATTTCCTGACAAAATTTACTACCTGGAAAAAATGTTTACTACCTAGCAACTCAAGCCCCACACCAGCTCGAAAAAGGGAGTTAATTTGCGTAATTAATAACATATTATTATTATTACATATTATGTGGAACGAAAAGAACACACAACAAAGTCCAGTCGACAAAATGGAGGATAGACAGACCACCGCAAGCTTGCTCGCCGCTAGATTTAGTTTTAGTAAGGTTTTTACGGTGCTTGGAACTGCATAGAGGTCATACGAGCGACAAGGGGTGGATGTCAACAGAGAAGTCCAAACGGGGAATCAAGCTTCGACTATCAAGGCACACCAGAAATAGCAGTTCACAAGAGAGTGACAAACACACAAAAGAAGTAGAGGAAAATGACGATAGTAAAGAAGAGGACAGAAAAAGTAGCAGCAGTTCACCCTACGTTGGTCCAGCACAGTATGAGCATGACATTGATAAATCAGCCCATGTTTAAAATTCTACTGTGCATAAGAACATGTTAATATCCTCCCTTTGGAAATGGCCAAAAGACGCTTCAGTCAGCAGCACTGCCCTAGTGGTGGTGGGAGGGGGAGGGGGGTAGATTTAGACCTAATGTGTATACACAGGATGACTGCCCAACTTTTGGGCAATTTTCCAGGGGGTCATCCATTTTCCAGGGCATTGTTACACAACACACACACACACGTAAGATATATCCATTCAACAACATGTCATTGTCGCACTGGGGTCTTATTTGACTTAAGCATTTCAGTCTCTTATAAGGGCCTAATATTTTCCTCTCATTATTATTATTTTAGAAAAATGAATCCAGTTTTGAGTGTTCGGAGGGGCCTTGAACAAGAATTGCTACTGTCAAGAACCAGTCTGGGTGTCATGACTCATATTATGAACGTGAAAGACAAAAATTATTGCTCAAACTAAAAGTAGAGCAATAACTTGAGTGGTTCAAGTAGTCCTACTCAGTGTGAGAGGTGTAACAACTGTGGGAGGGCAATAGGCAGTGACACTGAAAATCTGCCAGTCTTGAACAGAAAGCTACAATATTGTTCTAATTTACTATCACCCAACAAATGAAATGCGAACACTTAATTTCAATAACACAGCTTACAAGATAGGAAGGATCCCGATTCCACACAAGGCCTGCACCAATGCGTGCTTTGCAGAGGGCTCTAAATCTAATCAAAAATCTGAAATTTGCTTACAAGATTTTGTCCTCTGGGGTTGCCTTCAGCCTCCCCAGAGGGTATCTAAAAAAAAATCAATAATCTCTGCCGTATTCCGTAGTCCTATACTTCTCAACGCTCAGACTTTTACTTTTTAATTAACTTTGGCGACCCCAACAAACGCCGGTGCTCACCGATGCCGTATCTTGTGGTGCCTTGCGCGGAGGTTCAATGACCGGTCACGATGGCGAACTCGACAATCTAAAAATCGGACGACGCTTCTATTTTCTTTTCGCCCCCCCCTCCCCACGCACAAGTGACAGCACGGTGAAGAGTCCGAGTAATGATTAAATTTTATTTGCACGGCGAAACAGCGTTTATACTAAATGATACTGTACAACGTGCATATCACAAATGTTGCGTTATCAGATTATCGTCGGCAAATTTTTGGGTGGTAACGAAAGCGAAAGTAGATCTTTATTTTCCCGATCGAGCCTCGGTGTCACAGTGACATACACTTCCACCTGTCGCCACAGCTGGCTTTTCGCGTGAAACATACTCTTGGACGCGGAAAAGGAGAACGAATATTATATCACAATCACAACCCGCAAAAACGGAGTCATGTACCGCGGCTAGGGTTCACTGAAAAGTTTTGCTGGCTTCATCACTCAGTAT